TCCTGGGTAGTAAAGGCCTTAGAGATAGCCGTGTTAAGGATCTTACTAATACGCTTGCGCCGCTTATAAAAACAATTCTATTAATTTTTTTCGCGTAAGGATAATTATATAAGGTTTACCGGTAGTGCGTTTTTATCTTCTTCGAAGATATTACCTTATATATTGCCTTATATATCGCCTTATATATTAAAGAACTCCTGGTAACTAACCCCCTCCGTACCTGTTAGAATATTAGAATAATAGGGTTGCCTACTACCGGAGGGCGTATTAAGCTAATCGGGTATACCTAGTTGCTTATAATAGGGCCTAGGTTTTATGCGAGTATAGGAAATAAGTAAGTAAGTAAGTAAGAAAAGGAAACGTGTTAGTAGAGAAGGTTAGTAATTAAGTAACTATATAGCCGAATCTCGAAGCCAGCGGCACCAGTATAGGTGTGCGCGCGCATGGCGGTGCAGCCGTGCAAAAAGAAATCGAGGTTTCTGTGTTTCTGGGTTTCTAAAAACGACGCAACCTAGTGTTAGGTTCGTGGCTGGAAAAGGGTTGTATTGCTATTAACGAGGTTGCGTGGAGAGGAGAAAGGCTCCGGCCACGGGCCTGCTATATAGTTGAGCGCGCGCTAGCAGGCGCCGGCAGAACTCCGGGCGCCGGAAGAACCCTCGGCCCAGGATCACGTGACGTCCATGCACGTAATAATCCGAGGCCTTAATAACTACTAAAAGAATACTAAGGAACGATATAACACCTAGCGTCTAGAGGGAGCTAAAATAGGCCCTATAACGCTGGTATATTAGAATCGCTAGCGGATTATATATAGCAACGCTAGTATAAGGTAAGCGCTAGCGCCTAAAAAGCTAGAATTAGGGTCTCCGTTTAATTAACTAGAGGGTTTAATTAAGTTAATCCGGGACTTTATAGAGCGCTGTATACGTAGTATATTCCTACTATTAGCCCGGGGTTAACTGGAAATACTAGTTAAGTTAATTAAACGGAGACTAGAATAGGCCTTATAATACTAGTGTATTTAAATCGCTAGTATAAGGTAAGCTCCAGCGTTTAGAGGGAGCTAAAATAAGCTCCTATAATACTAATATATTAGAATCGCTAGTATAATAGCAGCGCCGGCGTTCTAAACAAGCTAGAGTGCGTGCTATATTTACTTAGTTGTAGGTTAATAGACGCCTAATTAAGTATAAACCCTAAAAAGTTGTAATCCTTAGCGTGGTAGTAAGGTTTTAGAGGTAAAAAAGGTGCCCAGCCTGCGGGACCGTATTTTCGCAAAGCTTTATCACGTTAAACAACGCTATAATAAATTTAATTTAGTTATAAAGCCTTGTAAAATAAGGCCGTAGTTAATTGCACTTATTAGAGCAATTTTAACTAATCCTACGTATATTTAATAAAAAACACTGCTTTAATATTACTATTTAAATCTATAGTATTATACTCTATACCTATTAACTAATATTATGCCTTTAAAGTTCCTATTTTATAAAAAAGCTCTAACTAGCATTTGCTATAGGTAGCACAGGGAAAATAAAGTTTTAAAAAGGGAGTAGTATTACCTACTAAAGAAAAAGTAAAATATCTATACTTATATTACTATACTATAGACCTCTAGGCTATATTATTGCATATATATTTTGTTTTCCAGGAATACCTTATAAAGCTCGCAACTAAAAAAGTCCCCTTTTTTAATATATTTTAAGTGCTTCTATTTAAAATATTTGCTAAGATTGCCTTTATAACTAAATTTATATATCCGATCTTCGATTAGCAGACTAGGATTGCTAATGCATTTCCAATATCTTTTCGGCCTCTTCTTTTTATACACCGACACTTTTACTACTTTTAGTGCTTCTTTATTATACTCTAACTAGCTTTTAGCTGGCAGGGTAATATTTCCGCTCTATTGCTTTGCTCGAGCAGGGTTTATTCCGCCCTTTTTAACCCTATAATATTCTATAACGGCTTGGATAGCTCTATTACACCGGTATATCTCTGCTTCTAAAGTAACTCCCGGTGGGGCTATAATAGTATTAGCTAAATTTTTCTATACTAGGAGTATAGCATATTAAAGCTGTACTATAACAACCTTATTTTTATTTTTAATACCGGCAAGCTGCTGCTTAATATTACGCATAGGTTGCTTATACTTCTAGCGTTTCTTAATATCCTAAAGAAGGGTATTTCGCTAGCGCTGCCTTTTCTAGTTAATTTTGCGATTAAGCTTTTTATACTTTAGATGCTTTATAGTATTTCGGACCTTATAAGTATATTATTGCTAGTTAACCTAGTAGAAATTGCATTTAATAGATTCTTCTTTCTTAGTATTTATAAGGTGCTTCCTTTTAAAATATTTGCTAAGGTTGCCTAAAATATAGAAAAAGTATATATACTGTCTTAAACCTATTCTATTTTATAAGAATATACCTATTAGGTTTTAAAACGTTCCTAGCAACGTTAATACTAACTATAGTGCCGTAACTAGTATCTATCTATTTAACGCGCACAACTTTTATACTAAATATCCCTATATCTACTATATAGATATTACTGCGGCCGCCGTTATAAAGGTTCTATATAACTTAGTTAACGTATATTAAGAAAAAGTCCTTACGTGGTTTTATAAAGTAATCCTACTTTACAGCTATACCCGCGAGTTGGTTATATCTAGTAGCAGCGCCGGCCGGGGTTTAAGGCGTAGGCAGCTCTAAAACGTGGCGGAGCGGGTTCGCGGTATCGGCTAGGTAAGAAAGCGGCATATAGTTTACTATAGTAGGCAGTAAAAGCGCTAGTTAAGAGCTAGTAAAGGCTATATAAGTTAGCAGATAGTAGTAGTAAGGCTATTAGAAATAATTAAATACTAATCGCAGAGCGAGTATAAGGAACGGGAACAGCAAAATAGAATAGAAGAAACTGCTAGTAAGCGAAAGGAAGCTTATAGGTAGGGCTGGTATAAGGCTAGCGCGAGGAGGCAAGGTGTAGAGGTGTCTGCTAAGTATAGGAAAGATAGAGGAAGTTGTAATTAAAAAGCTAAGTATATAAAAAAAGGTTTAACTTAGTATAGAAAAACTCTTTTATCTACTTCTAGAATCCGCTCTAAACTAAGGTATTATAATAGAGGAGCAAAGAAGCTTAAGAAAAAAAGAAAAAGCAAAATAGCAGTAGTTTTAATAGCAAGCTAGGGTAAGCTCTATAACGCTGGCGTATTAGAATCGCTAGCGTAATATAAGCGCTAGCGCCTAGGGGGCTAGAATAGGCAGCGCAGATTTATAAAACAGTACTATAAATATCGAGAGTATATTATTGCTAGTGCATTTTATTATCTAGGCCAACCTAGTAGAGATTATATCTAATAGATTCTTTTTTCCTAGTATTTACTAGGTGCTTTCTTTTATAATATTTACTAAAATCGCCTAGGGTTTTAAATAAGTATATGCGCAGTTCTATTAGCAGATTTTCGTTACCTAGGCAAATAAAATATATCCTCGGCCTTATCTTCTTATATATAGACACCTTAGCTGCTTCTAGCGTTTATATAGATAGGTCTAGCTAGGTATTATTTTTGCTTTTACCTAGTAGCGTAATACCACCGCTTAATTATTAGAGTTAAATAGGGTGTATTCCGCCCTTCTTAACCCTATAATATTCCGTAACGGCTTAAATAGCTCTATTACGCCGGCGTATCTCTGCTTTTAGAGTAACTCCCGGCGGGGCTATAATAGCGTCGATTAGCTTTTTCTATACTAGGAGTATAGCATACTAAGGCTGTACTATAACTATCTCGGTTTTAACTTTAATACTATTAAGCTGCTGCTTAATATTACGCACGGGTTGCTTATATTTATAGCGTTCCTTAACCTTCTTAAAAAGGACATCTCGCTAGTACTGCCTTTTCCGGGTGATTTTGCAATTATACTCTTTATACTTTGGATATTTTATGGCGTTTAGGGTATATTTAAGTTTTTCTTATTCTTAGAGTAGGTAATATACTCTAGAATAATTATTTACTAATGCAGATTGTTCCGGAGTAAGCTATTAGGGCTATTAAGGATTAATTAAGCGACTTATAGTATAAGCTGCTCGCATTAGTATATTTTAGGGCTAGATGCCTTGTATAATAGCTTGTGTATCTACTATAATACGTTGTAAGAGATAGTGTTTTAAGAACGTCCGGCTATCGCGGTGCGTTATTATAAGGTTTTGCATAGCCTTGCTAATATTGCCTATATATTATATTAATTCTACGTCTTAATAATAACGGCTTAGGCTAAGCTTACTATTTTTATTAAAGGCCTTCCCTCTATTATATCTTAATAAATAGGGATAGGTAATTTAGGCAAACCCTGTAATTTCCCCTAGTACTTTAATCTAGGGCAGTAATATAGAGTACTAAAAAGGCTGGTTAAGAGAAATACTCTAGCTATTTACGGTTTTTACCGGTTGCTAAAGAACTAGGATATTATCTAATTTCCTACTAAGGGTTAATAGTAGCTTATTGCGCTCTAGTAGAATAAAGAGCCTGCTTAATTCCTTTTCGGATATTAGATTATATGCTGCAAACGCCTAATTGCGGAAGAGCACCCTAAAAAGGAAAATATATAGACTAAAGATAAAGAACTTATTATAGATAATTTTAGGGATAAAGAAGGTATTCCTTACTAAAATTAGTATTCTTTTAAAAATATATAGATATTAGCTAAACTAGAAAACTTATAGACTTATATATTTTTTATCCTAAGGAACTCCTTTATAAATTCGAAGGTAAACTCTAGTAATACCTAATAAGGCCCTTTTTCTAGATTTTAGAGTAGGGTAACCTATATATATTAATAGCGGAGTTTAAGAATAGCTTGTAGCCGATTTACTATAAAACTACTAAGTTAAAAGTAGATCTAGACTTATATCCTACACCGTCCGTAAGAATATCTCTTTTTAGTTATTATAAGGTTTATTTATTATACTTTAGTTTAATCCTCTATATATATACAGGCCTTATCTTACCCTATTTTCTTTAGCTTGTGTTTTTTTACTAGTTTTCTTAGCACCTTATATATGCTCCGGTTTATTTTGCTATTAATCTTATTACTAGTTGCTCTTTTATATACTAGGCGGAATACCTTCCAGTATATCCTAAGGGAGCTAGCAAACTTAGTACCCGGAAGTTTCCTTCCTTTCTTCCCTTAGCGCTAACTAAGTAGCCAGTTAAAAAAGGTATATAGTGTGCGGACGGATATAGTTAAATAGGTATATAGGTTGTCTTTCCTAAGGTATATCTAGTATTTATACTATATTAGTGTTGTATATCTTAAGTCTAGCGCGGGTTAAAAGGGGAGAATAGAAACTAATAACCTACTAATTCTACTAATCTTCTATATAATCTAGCAGGCTAGTAGTGCTGTTCTTATAGTCCTGTTCTATATACTTTTAATTGTTAAATATTTCCATCTGTTAAAGGAAGTGCTTAGGCGGAAGGTTTTTATTAGGGAAAAGCTATACTTCGTCCTCTATACCATTGCTATCCTTATTAGTATAAGTGTTAATATCTATTAGATCTATATTCGACCCTATACTATTATCTATACTAGACTTTATATACTTGCTCTTTTTAGAGGAATTGTTAACCGGTAGATAATAGTATATATCGGTGCGTAGAGGTTAATAAAGGGAAAGGTTGCTAGAAAAAACTTAGTAAATAATATAGTAGATAGTAGGTACGCAGCTAGTTAAGCAGAGGAAAGTAAAGAGGAGGAAGGGGCTCTAGTGCGCGGATTTATAGCTAATAAGAAGTAGAAGGTTTTAAATACGCCGCTGGCAGGGCGGCCTTAGTTTAGGATATAATATAGGGGTTAAAAATAGATTAAGGTCGCAGGCGTGCCGCTGCGCTCTAGGATATAAAACGAGCTCCAGGGTTCCTTTAACTATTAGCGCCTACGCTAGCTAATAGAGGAAACCCGAAAAGCACGTGCGTTTAAGCTAGTGCCGGCACGTTTAGGGGGGTTTTACGGCAAGTTAGCCTTATAAAACGGCGTTACAACCCTCTAAAATCGGCGGCTAAAACGCTGTTAGATTGTTTAAGGTAGTATATATAGTATATATAGTATATATAGTTATATAAAGTTATAAAAGGTGGAATACCTATATTTCCGCCTTTACTATTTCTCTAGCTACTAAAAGGTATAGTAAAAGGTCTATTTTTTAGAAAAGCTATTAGGCTATAGCCTTTCTTTTTTTCTAGCTTCTATAGAGCTGTTTATACGTCCTTATCTTAGCCTTCTAGAATAGCTCGCCCCTGCTTTTAACGTGTTTTCTGCAACTTATTATAATATATTTTAGGGATTAGAAGCTATGCCCGCAAGGGTATACCGGTATTAGGTAGCCGGGCACTCTTATATAGTAGAGGTAACCGTTAAGCCCTATATACTCTATTTATAGGTTTATAATAATTATACTCTCTACTTTTATAAGTTCTTTATATAGTACCTTTTATTATTTGCTCTATTTAGTATTAAGTACTAGTATTAAAGGTTTTTAGCGTAGTTCTTTATAGTAGGCTTTCTATTCCTTCTTCTACTTCTTTTTATATTTATCCTGGATTATACTATACCTTATACGCCTATAGAATTCTTCTAATTCGCCTTTATATTATACGGCTAGCTATAATACCTTTACTATAAGCTTATAAAGTTTATTACGCCTGCTTAGGCCGTACTATAGTATTCCTTTCGGCCTGTATTTAGTATAGACTATTTCTCTTATATAGCTATATTAGGTTTTAATATACTCGCGGGCTAGCCCCTTATATATACGGTCCGTATAGGCTACTATAAGTTTCTCTAGCTTTAGCCAGAGTAAAAGGTATAATATTTTATACTCTATTACCCTAATATTTATTGTCTTATATACCCCTAAAATAGTATAAAGGCACTAGTTCTATACTGTTTTAAGCTGCTTAATTTTTATCTTACTAATCTGCTTTTTTATACCTAGTATAGTATACTAGAAAATATATCTATATATAATAGCAGGCCTAATAACCGCCGAGTATATTATATATACCTTTCGGAAGCTTATACTTTAGGTTAACGCCGTAAGCCTTATAAAAGCCCCTATCTAGGCCGTGGCTTTATTCTTTATAGTATTAATATGCGGGCCCTATTTAAGTTTAGAATCTACCTAAACTTTTAGTATTTTTAGGTTTATTATAGGGCCTTTAGTAAAGCCCTATATATTAACTATAGCTTTTATATTAATAGATTTACGGGCTCTTATAAAGTATATTAGGTGGTATTTATCTAGCGCAAAAACTGCTCTATACTTTCTTGCCCACTCTATATACCGGTTATGCGCCCGTTTAATAGTCCTGCAGTTTTCTTCTATACTTTTACTATATATAAAAATATTTATATTGTTAATAAACCTATAGGCCGTTATATTACCGCGCTATAGTATTAGTAGAAGCGTGCTAGTAAAGAAAAGGAAAAGTATTAGTAATAGGAAGAAGTCCTGCAGTATTCCTATAGTAACTGCAATAGGTTCTGCTATAAAGTTTCTAATAGCAGGCCTTATAGTACGGTCCTGTAGGAAGAACCTTATAAACCTAACTATTTACTCCGGTACTTATTAAATCTATAGGTTATATATTATATATTTATATAATATACAGTCGAACGCCCCTAATATATCTAGGCTAAAAAGTAATACTATAAGCTATAGATTTCCTCTTTATACAGCGTGGATTTATTTAGTAAAAAGCTTAAGTACTATTTATATTAAATATTCTAGTTGTGCCCCTATCTAACTAGGTAGAAGTATATCCTTTTCTTCCGCAATTTTTAATAGCCGCATAGCTATAATCTATTTAAATAGCTTACCTATTATTTCTAGTAGGGCGATTAGCTTATAGGCTTTTGCCGTTGTATAGGACGCTTTTTAGGGCTTATATAGCACTACTATAATAAAAATTTTAAATAGCCGAGGATAGTATCCTTTATATAGGCACCTTATAAAAAACTAAGCTAGTATAGGCACTAGCTGTATTTCGCACTTCTTAAGAAACCTATTAGTAATCCCTATAATACCCGGAGCTTTATCTAGGGTAGTTCCTATTAGCGCTAAAAAAATATCCTTAATTATAATATCTAGTATAGTATTATATAGTTCCGGGTATTAGAACCCTTTTAGGTCGGATAAGTCTATATTAGCCGGAGGCGGAAAAAACTGCTCTACTAGTATATATACTTTTATTTCGTTATCTATATATAGAGTAAAGTTCTTAGGTTTTAAAAAAGGGGGAAATTAAGGCGGAGGTTTTAATTCCTTACTAGCTATATAGCCCTAATTAGCTAGCTTCTATATACTTTTTAGGTTTTTTATTACTTTTTCTACTATATAGCGCCACGCCTTAGTACTTTCCCTTTATATAGTTCTTTTTTTATAGTTATACTAAATATAGTATAATATCTAGTTCTTTATAGATCGCGATAAGCGCTATATTCTATACGCTCTCTTAGTTTTATATACTTCCTCCGAGTATTTTTCTAACTATACCGGCGATACCTATTTTAATAGCCTTATAATAGGCACTATAGCAGTAATTATAGCCTGTATATATTTATAGAAAAGG